TGCGTTAACTGAGTACTTGTAACGTAGTACAAGAAAATTTATTACCAATGACAATTTCCACATCAACATGTTAACATTAATATGAAACTTAAGATCTCCAAATAAAATTTAGTTGCTTTATATCATAAATAAAGGTAAAAAAAAACTAAAATTAATAAAATGCAAAAAAAAAATCAAATTCATAAAACATAGCCCACGCAAATCAGAAGGGTTCCGCTGAACCATTCGATCTCGATATCAATTACAAGATTCCGATGCCTAATCCAAAACAATCCATCAAATTCCCAGCAACACACTACAATTAACTGGAAAGAAACAAAGTAAATTGAGAACTTTTTTGGAAGATAGGAGGAGCACCAACTCACCTTCGATGCCGGAGTGGAAGATGCCGATGCCGAGCCACTGCACGTAGTTGTTCAAGGGGGTGAGATCGTAGACGTTCAATACCACGGGAGTTAGGGTGACGCCCTCGCCATTGGACGGCGAACCCGCCGAACAGAAGGCGGTACCCATGGAATGGGAATGGGAATGGATCTGAGGAGGAAACCCCAGAGATCCCAGACAAGGTAGGGGAGGGTTTCTCGAGAGCTCCAAATGAGAGAAGAGGGAGACGGCGATCTCTCACCTCTCCTCTTCCCCTCTCTTTTCGTCTCGGGCTTGGATGGAGGTGGTCAGAGCTGGCGGTCGGGTCGATCCCCAATAATGGAAGCGGAGGCCGCTGGTCCACGATAGCAGCCGCACAGGGTAACAAACGTGGGTGGCAAAAACTAAAAGCGTGACATATATCTGCGTATGTATAGATATATACACTCACGAGCCTAACACACACACACACACACACATATATATATATATATATATATATATATATATATATATATGTATTTCCAGGGCCAATTAATTTCCAGTTTATATATATATATATATATATATATATATATATATATATATATAAACTGGAAATTAATTGGCCCTGATCGAGTTTTCTTATTGACGGCGGCTAACGGAGACCGACGTCGGAAAGCTGCTTTCATCAGACGAGTCTTTCTTAGTCATAAGATGTTAAAAATGATTTCATGGCTCATATAATAGTTGCCACGAGAGAGTGGCTAGGATCCACATATAGCACAAACAATTGCTCCCAACGTTGCTGATAGACCTCATCACTATCAAGACAATGTAATTTCAAATGTTTGTCTTGCAAATGTTGACAACAGAAACAGTGAGATAACACACAACTCATGGTCTGGTGAAAACTAAATCTAATTCCAAATTGCAAGATTGTCAAAAGCAACGAAGAGAAGTGAAGTAGGTTTCAGAGGAAAAAGAGAAGCAAAAGCTTTGTCACACTCGACTATGCGATATTAGACCGCCTACAGAAAACAAGCAGACAAATTCATCTGCCATTACACATCAGAAGGTATAAGTTGGTAATGATTCACATTCATGCTGTCCTTGGTGAGGTCATTAGTCGTTAATGCGTCACATCCTCTCTTGGCTCAGATTTCCTTTATGCAAATCGGTGGTAATCAGCCTCTGTAGACACCTGAAGGATCTGCATTTTGCACTATCCATGGATGCTCAAGCAGTTTGTGAAGAGGAAGGCGTTGTGATGAATCTTTGACAAGCATCTGCATAGGATGTATGCCCACGTTGAGGATAGTAAATCAAATATGTATTATGTTGTTTCTGAAAACGAAACAAGGCGGCAGGGAAAAACATAAGAAGATCATCAAACACCTGGCTGATAAGTTCCTTTGCACCAGGAGAAACAATCGGTTTCGAGGGGAACTTGAGATCAACTTTTACTATCCTACATCAACAATGTAAACAGCCCAGGTAACATTAGTATTACATAAGTAACTTCAATCTTCTAAATAATCGATAACCCATAAATAAGATTACTTGAATAAATTAGTTAACATAACTTCTAATATCGACATCAGCTGTCACATGGAAGCAACAGCAACCTATCAAACTCCTAAAAATTGTCATTGAATAATATGAGGTGTCTGTCATCCTTCAAGTGATAGGGACCTTTTATGCTAGTTGATGAAGGAAAAAAACAAAGAGAGTTACTGCACATGCAAGAAAATAAAAATCATGATCAGCAACATCTCAAATGAGAGTTGACATGATAAAATTTAACAAAGTTGAGAAATTCAATAACTTGAGTTTTCCAACTCAATACTAAGGTATGGATAATCCAACTGCTTTAAGAGCATCCTTCATTTTCTTACAGAAAAGAAGTCTGAATGAAGCAAATCTAAAATTAGATCTCTTGGTAATTTGGAAGCAATTTACGGCTTTAGGATGTATAGAATCTAGGCCACTAAGCAAAAGCGCTTCCTCTTGATCAACAAACAGGATACTATATCCAGTACTAGCTATTAAGCACCGTATCTGTAACCTGGCATATCTTGTTTGCTTACCTTCTGTATGTATCTGAATGCTCTTTTGCTTCAAATGGGGGAGCCCCAAAGAGGAACTCATAGCACAAAATGCCCAGGCTCCAGATATCCACACTGGCATCATGTTCTACACTTTCCACTGAAAAAAAACAAAAAATGCAGGGAAAGCACCTAAGGAACTTTTGAGGCAAAATTTATAGCAGAAATTGCTGATGGTAAAAGTTGGCATACCCATTTCAGGTGGAAGGTAATCCAGCGTTCCACACATGGTCCGCCTGCGGTTGAATGTGTGAACTGACCACCCAAAATCTGCAATTTTCAGCTCACCCTGTATAGAGGTTCAACTTCATAAGCTTTTCAAACTTTGTCCTGAGGTAACAAGAACAAGTAGAATCTACCTGGAGTCCAATCAAAAGATTCTCTGGTTTGATATCTCTATGTATCACATGCTTCCCATGGAGGTATATCAGAGCTTGTGCTAAAGATGAAATGTACTGCAGAATGATGAACAAAATAACCATAAATGATCAGCATAAAGTTTGTCTGATGTAACATATTTGCACATGTAATTTTAAAGATTGGAGGTCCAGATTAATTAATTAATTAATGCACAACACACCATCTAATTAATTATTAATGCACAACACACCATCTAAATCAGGTGAACAAAATTGAAGGTAATGACTAGAAGGCATTTTTCATTGCATAACTTGTAAAGCTGATATAGAAATGAATATAATTAAGCATGTTTACAAGAACTCACAGTGGCAGTGCGTCTTTCACTAAAGTATTTGCATTTCTGCAGTTCCTTGTAAACTTCACCTTTTGCTGCATATTCTAATATCAAGTAAACACGAGTCTGCAATGAAAAGAAAAGGCTACGTCAATTTAGGTGGCAAAACAGGGTTCAACTCCTAAAGTGAAACACTTTCCAAAAGTGGCTGAACCTGATCATAGAAATAACCATATAGGCGTAGTATATTCGGATGCCGGAGGTGGCTCTGTATCTCGACTTCACGCCGCAGCTGATGCTCAACTTGAGATTGTTTGAGCTGGCTCTTGAAGAGCACTTTGAGTGCCACAATATGATTGCTCTGGTTTGCAATTTGATACTTGAAGTGAGTTGTAATAGAAAAAAATTATCATACCATGACAACAAAGGGGGGAATTTTGTGTTACGTTTGAGCAGGATTGATCATATAGAAACAAAATTCAAGCTTCATGCCATGAAAATTGCAAGCCTTGATTATTCTTTTCAGCAGGAGATAAGACCAAACATATATGATATGCTTATTAGTCTGACAAGGAAGCCAATAAACTAAATCAGCGGACAAATGAATCTTGTAGTTCGTACCCTCTTTTCTCGGGCAAGATAAACATGGCCAAACTTTCCTCTTCCGAGAGGCATTCCGATATCGAAGTCATTAAGCGTCCATCGTTTTTCTACCGCTGAAGCCTTTGAAGGAGACTGTAACAGGCAACCATTTGTGAGATCAAACCATGCAAAAGCTCTGATGCTCCGTATCTCACATGTGATTGGAAAATTTCAATCCACATCATGCCAAAACAATTATCGCCTAAAAAGATCAGGAAAGAAAGCAACAATTTCTAATCCATCCTCGAGAAGATGATAGTCCCTGTAATCGGTATGTTTCAGACGATATCGAGTTAACAACAAGCAAAAGAATCCGTTGCCTTGTGGCTGTATCACTAGAATGCCTTATATCAAAAACCATAAAAAGAAAAAAAAACCCTAGATTTGCTTGAGCCGACAGCAGGAATCAGAAGGGAGAAACCATAAAGGAAGCAAGAAAGAAAAAGTCCTTGTTCGAGTTCGAAGACCTAGATTTCCACGAACGAGGTCAAGCCGCAAGAGACGAGAATTGCGCATCTGATGGCAAGGAGAAGATACAACCCTAATTCAGCAAACGATCATCGTTCGGAACACCAGGGTTCTCAAGATTCTCGGAGATCACCTTCTCTTCTTGCTGCGACTCCGCGGCGACGGCCATCAGGTGATGCAGGGAGGGCAGATCGACGAGTTCGAGATCGACAAGGCGAGTAAATAAGGGGTGGAGTCCTCGCCTTGCGCAATCCAGAGAGAAGAGGTTGGGAATTGTCAGCGAGACTACGCTGCAACGGTCAGATTCTTGGAAAGAGCAAGCGCGGGGCCCAGCCCCATGTGGACCCGAGATTTCAAACCGAGTTGACGCCGTGATGACGTCAATAAACTTTGACTCCACAAGCCAATGCATGGAGACGATGAGCTTTTCTCAGTAGTGCGATTCCACGACTGCAGCACAGCAGAGAGAATAACATAATTGTACGAGTGCAGTATATATATATATATATATATATATATATATATATATATATA